TAGTATATATATATACTATATATACTAATATATATAGTATATACTACTACTAATATATACTAATATACTACTACTAATATATACTATATATTATATACTATATATACTATATATAGTATATAATATAAATATAATACTATATAATATATATAATATATAATACTAATATATATTTCAATGAAATTAGATGGTGGTTCGGTCCATGGCAAATGTGTCCAGTGACCTGCGGAGAAGGTGCCCTTCGAAAACGGTCGGTAATGTGCGTCTCTTCGGGAGTGGGCCCTGACAGATCTGATCTAGCTCTGCCCGATCGGGACTGTAATCGTGACGTGAGACCCGAAGAAGTCAGCCCGTGCCCCAATTTGCCTCCTTGCAGCTCGACCGAACCCCCCTTGATCGTTTACGCGGACAACAAGGACGCCTCTTTCTACAACGTGAGCTCGAATGATCAGAACGGTATCACGATTGTCGATGGTCTTACCACCGAGGAGCCGGAGATCCTTGAATTCGACAATGTAGTCGACGAAAATCCAGGTAATTCCATGTACGATACCAAGTCGAAGTGGATCTCCTCGAAATGGAGTCACTGTACGAATGGAAAAAGAACCAGAAAGGTAACCTGTTCGGAGCAAGGAGAGTGCAATCCAGAAAATAAACCAATCGCGGTTGAAATTTGTCAAGGTGCACGGTGGATCACCGGTGAGTTTATTATATCCCTATATATTTTGCAATAAATTATTTCCCCTCTTTTGCGATACATTTCTGAAAAAATTAATTTATAACCTCAATTATTCGTGCATTTTCTCATCGATATTATTATGATAATAGCTCGAGCTTATCTCTAATAATATCCTTTTGAAGTCTGACTCGTTCCCAAAGATGCCTATGACCGATGATTAAGCGCATAAAATCTTGATCTTTATGAGCATGCTTACAGGAAGATGGGGATCCTGCAATGCGAGCTGCCTGCTGAGAGTCGGCGTTAAACGCAGAGATGTGGAGTGTCGTGATCGTATAACGGAGTTACTGTCCGACGATTGCAATCCTGAGAGAAGACCAATCGATACGAGACGTTGTTATCACAGGCGGCAGTGTGCGAACGATAAATCCGGTAATTGCATATGCCAGAAGAAATCAGTTATTAAAAGAAATTCATGATCACATGAACTTATATGTGAAAACTTTTGTTATTCCTTTTTACTTTTTTCCTTTTTTAATGAATATCTAAAAAGTTTTCATGGATCATTAACCATGTTGCATGCACACGGTGAATTAATGTCTTTTCAATGTTTTACGATATACTTCTTTAGAAATATATAAATATATATTTTCTTTTTTTTTTTTCTATGATATTATTATTACCACATAATTATATTTATCTATGAACGTGCTTATATTTTTATGATTTGCATTAATAGAAGCAGAATATTGCATAAAAATATACGTTAACTTTAATTAAATATATGAAAACTTTTTATGTTATTTAACGTTAATACTATCGATAATTCTAGATCATATTTTTTTCTTAGAAATATGAAATGATCAAAAGAAGGAAAATTTCCAGTTTTTTTTTTTTTAATTTTTAAATAAATATCTTTGGATGAATTCATTTTTACAATACTTACATACATAATTACATACTTTACATAATTAGTCTTAAAATTTTAATATTCAAATTTTTATTTTTTTTTTTTTTCTATAATATTTGCGAATACCAGAAAAATTAATAAAGAAATTTGATTATTTAATATCAATCGATTAATTAAAATAATTTAATCATCTAGTGTTGAATATATAGATATATTTTAGATATATTTTTGTTTCAGAGTGCAAGGATACTATAGTGCCAATCTCAATGTGTACGTCATATAAACGCATGTGCGATGTGTCATTGATCGTACAGGATAAATGTTGCGCTACGTGTTTTAAGAAACGAAGACACGGTCGTCATAACAAACGACACATCTTTGATGATTGAATAATCAAAAACGTAATCTTACGATTTTTAAATTCTGCATTTTTTATCCACTAAAACAGGATCCGTCCTAAGTCTGCTTTAAGACTAAGCTTATTGAGAAATTATGCAAATATATGTCTAATATAGTTGATTTAAACAAAAAGATTCAATATATTATAAATTTAAATAGCTGAATTTTATACGTGACTTAAATAACAATGAAAAAAAAATGTATAATGAGAATTAAAAGTGCACTTAATATTTTAATATATGTAAATGATATTGTGATTTTATTGGAAATTGAATATTTTATAAATTTTACTCATTTTCATCAAATTTCCAAATAAAATAAATAAGTTAATTATATTACATTATTGTAGATAAATTTAATTTGTAGTATTTGCAATTTAACTATCAAATATAAAAGTTAAAAAAATTCGCAAAATGTACAAATACATCTGTATAGAAATTCGATATCTTTCAATTACATATAGATAAAAATATAAATTTTTATTTAATTTATATTTTATTTCTTTGCTGATAATATAATATTATATTTGATAGTATAATTTATAAAAATAAAAAAACTTATATTTGTACATTATAATATCATTACATTAAAATCGTTCTTCAAATAGAATAAAAAGATGATCAAATTTTCTTCATTAAAATGTAAATTTTCATATTTTGTTATATTCGTTTTAGTAATATATCTA